ATTAATATATGCACACGCTATGGTTGTAAGTGTAGTATATACAGTGTGTACAAGTCTGTAAAATTAATTATTGTGTGTAGTAATGATTGATGGATCAGTTGAATAGGAATCATTAATTTTAAAATGTATATAAACACTTGTTTTCGACATAAAAGATTTGTTATTGTAATGTTTTTTTTAAAATGACAATGTTATGCTGTCTCAGTTGAGTTACAATTACGCTTACATTGTATCTGTAATGTTCTTATTATACTACTAAGTAACATTCCTAACTTTTTTATTACATTTATCACTTGGCTAGATACAATAATATAAAAAAACTCCCTTGGTGCATATATAATATACTGTATTCATGTCAGTTTCAATGATTGAAGCTTGAGTTTTATGAATATTTTTAAATGTTTATGCAGTGCTCAATGAAATCTTTCACACTGGGAAAGGAATTTAAAATTTTAATGATTACAAAACTTTGAAAAAATAACAATACAGGTTTCTACACAAAGAAAATTGAAAAGTTGCATCAAACAGAAATCTGTGCTGAAAATTTGAAATATCTCAGAAAAATATCCTTTGTAGTAAATCTGAGTGGGAAAAGTTTTGAACCAGAGATTATTATGTAATAGTTATGTATGATTTTACATAGTTTTTATTTGAATTGCTTAATATATGTTGTTAATAATGGCAAACTCTACCTATGGGTTTAACAAAATTAAATCTATTCTCTCAATATAATTATGGAAAGCGATGTTTCTATTTTCATTTAAGCTGAAAATTTAATTCTCACACAAACTGATCTATTACATGTTATTGTCATTTTTGTCACATGATTTTTGTATGACAGTATTATTATATTTATTGGAATTACCTCAACAGTGTTTTGTTTATATTTATCCTTGGTGCTGATGTACTTATCTCATAATTTAATGTTCTTGTAAACAAGATTTTATAAACTTATAATATGTATGTTTATATTAATGATTTCTTTGTATAAATTAATTTATTTGTGTTTCATTCAAATATAACAATCTATCCAATCAAATTCAGTGTTTCTAGGTCATATCAATCCACTGCCATCGCTTGCCATTGTAGATGACAGCAAAACTATTCTTGTAGGTTTTTCGTTTGTCCATCAACAATTACATTTTCATCTTCTTGACACCTACCAGGTTTATTGCTTTGATACATAGTTTGTAAGTATCTTGGGTTGGACCTTTATCTGATTTGTTCATTTTGTGATGATGTCATTAATTCTCTATTTTTAGCGAACATTTTAGGTAAAAAATGTTATTTTCGACTTCTTCAAAAATGCTGATCCAATTGCTTTGATACATGTCATATGTGTACCTTCATCGGACCTCTAGTAGATTTGAATATTTGGTGACAATATCTTCAATTTTCTAATTTTAGTCAACATTTTTGGTAAACTTCTTCTTGATGACTGCTAGTTTGATTTAAATAATACTTGTTGTACATGTACATGTATCTTCTTGGATGGACACGAGCAGAAAGTATAGATTGTTGCAGTCTGTAGCAGGGGCTGCAATCTTTTGAACCTTGTAGTCCAAAGAAGTTTTGTGATGTCCCTCGTCACCATTAAAAATAAATGATTTTAACAAAGTTTGGCTAACTGCAGACTAACTGCATCAATAGGTTTTAAAGCCAAGTTTTCGATCTCAGAGGAGATCGAATGTTTTTGCTGTCCATATCATGTCTGAGAAATAATCACTGTCAAATATTGCACCACGCCATCTTTGTCCAATGCCCTTCAACATATTCAATCAACAGCTTAGACTCGAACATAGTCTTGAACTCTTCTGCACAATGTTCTTACAGGTCCTCACAAAGAATACATGTGGCGTAACTCAAAAAACAAATCAAATTAAATCAAATACTACTGCCTGTGTGGTGTTTTTCACTAATCCAAGACATTGCCAGAGGTATTCAGGACATTTTCTATGTACGTCAGAATACCACCAGTGCTTTGCCAGTTGAAGTAATATAATGCAGTGAATCATAGAAGCCAATAGAAACTATTTTGAAGGGAATTAAGTTATATTTTAGAAAACTATGGGACAAATGTACTGTTTGATCTACCCTCAGATAAACCTATATTTTATTTCTTGGTAGATTGCAAATACATTCACTGTCGATTGGTCATAGCACAAATAGTACATCAATTGAAAAGTTTGGCTGAAGAAGCTTTGACCACAGCAGGTTGTGCCTGAAATGTCTGAGCTATTCAGGTTGGATCAACTTTAATATATTCAAATTACGCATTTAATGGTACAATATTAATTAGCATTTACTTAATTAATGAGCATTTACACTGTAAATTTAACCAGTTTCTTTTATTTACACACTTTTTAGTGTTAGCAACACATTATAAACCACAATTAACACTATAATCGTGCACAAGTCGTGCCCCAGCGAGATTT